ATCTGCAAACTGGATGGCTCTACTAATAGGAGTGATAGTAGAATCCTGGATATTGTATCCTAAAAACCTTACTGAGGTTTGGAACAATTTAATCTTGGATGCAGATAATACTAATCCATTTTGTTGGATAATTGTATTGAAAGCATAAAGGTGCTTCCAATGTTCTTCTATTGTCTTGGAGAAGATAAGTATATCATCTATATAGACAATAGAAAAATGACTGATACAATTAAAGACTTCATTCATTATGTTCTGGAATTCACTTGGGGCATTTTTTAACCCAAAAGGCATGACATTCCATTCATAATGTCCGAAAGGAGTGGTAAAAGCGGTTTTATACCTATCCATAGGGTGGATCTGTATTTGCCAAAAACCACTTTTAAGGTCAAATTTGGAAAAGATAGTAGACTTATTGAGTCTTTTTATCAAATCCTGTTTGTTAGGTATAGGGTACCTTATCCATTCTAAAACCTTGTTTAAAGGTTTATAGTTTATGACTAACCTTGGGACTCCTCTTTCTAATTCTGCGTTTTTGACTACATAGAAAGCAGGACAAGACCAAGGTGATTTGCTATTCCTAATGATACCATTTTTTAGTAACTCTGTGATTTCCTTTTTACAAATCTCAGTAGTTTCATGGTTCATTTGGATTGGTCTAGACTTAGTGGGAATATTGTCTTCCCTAAATCCTTTGACATAAGGAAGTCTAACCATGTGTTTCTTCCTATGCCAGAATGCTGTAGGAAGGGAGGAACAAACTTCTGATTCTAGTTTTTTCCTAAACCTATCAATCTTTTGTTGTAAGATTGGGTTGGTTAGGTTTTCTTTAGTTCTGAGGTGGTTAATCTCTTGTTTAAGAAATTCCACTTGTTTAATTTTTCTGTTTATAACATTAAGGGACTGTGAGACAGAAACGTCTTTTAGCTGCCTTAAATGTTTTCTCTCTGGTTTAGTGATAAATGTAAATACAATTTTTCTCCCAAAATGCTTGGTTGATATTCCATCTGTATTTGTACTAAAAGGGTACAAAAGATATATAAATGGAAGACCAAGTATAACAGAGTCAGTCATGTCTTTAACAAGTAAGAATGATGTTTCAAAACATACATCTTGTTGACATACATGAACTCTTGGAAGTTTGTATTTAACATTCATTTTACTGCCATTAGCAGAACTAATTCTTTCTAATGTTTTTTCATAAAACATGGTTGGAATTAATCCTTCTTGGATGCAGTTTACATCTGCTCCAGTGTCTAATAAGGCAATAACAGTAATATGATAACTGTTGTTAATGATTAATTTTACTTCAACATGCCATTTTTGGACAGTCAAAGAGTTAATCAGACTAATTCTCTTGTCATCATTGCTACAGCTTCCTTGTGGGAATGAGGGCAGGTTCGTTAAACCAGAAGTTTCCGTCTGAAAGGAGGAGGTTACTGGTATCCCCTGTGTATCGCTGTGATGATCAAAAGGATTAGTAAAATCTTCAGTCTGATTTTCTGAATCAGAATCCTGGGATTTTTCAGAATGTTTTTCTGTTTGTAAAAGAGTTAAAGCTTCAGCAAATTTTTTGTCTTGAGCTTTTAAATCTTTTATTTCTAGTTTAAGCTTATTAACTTCACTCTGAAGATCTTGTAAGGTGATTTCTTTTTTCTTTTCCTTACTAAATCTTTCCATAGTTTTGTTAAGGCTTATTAATGGTTTTTCTATAATAGGTTGCTTATTATCCTTTTTACTGAAAAGGTTTCTAAGCTGTTTTACATACTTATCTTTTAGATCTGGATCCTCTATCTTGGAGATCAAGTCTATAAGTATGTGTTCTTCATTTTGTTTAGTGATTACCCTGACTTGTTTTTGACAAGAGCATCCTATTTTAATTCTAGGTTTATCAGGGTGATCAGAGGCTGAATAATAATCTGAAGAGTCTGAGGTGTCTACTGGACTGTTTGATTCTTCAGAACTTTCTAAATTATTTATCCTAAAGATTTCAAGGATTCTGTCCTCATCATCTTGGGATAAAATTAATCTTTTGACCTGTTTTTTAACTGGACAATCAGGACTAATGTGGCCTGGTTTTCCACAGTTAAAACATTTAATATCATCTTGGGCTTTTCCCTTTCTTTTTTTATCTGTCCTTTTGGATCTAAAATTTCTTCTAGTTTTTTTACTTGAAGATTCAGGTTTAGATCTTTTGGCAGTTTTGTGGTGAGGGAAAAATCTTTGGTAAGATTTATTTTTAGAATAAGGCTTATGTGATTTGTGTTTTTTATGGGAAGGAGCTAATGGCTGTAACCCATATTGTTCACAAAAATTACCTAATTCATATTTAGCCTTATGTTTTTCATTTGTTAATTGCTTATTGATTCTCAAATCAACACACCATTTTAATCCTACATTCTGGATGGTGCTAATGAGTTCTCCATAAGCAAGATTATCATATTCAATGATTCCTGTGTCTTTGCTAAGGGCTTCTCTAACCTTATGGGCAAAGAGATTAGGTAGTCCATTAACAAATTTTTCTTTCCAGAAAGCTTTTTGGCAGTCTGGGCGAACCATAACACGAGAAACAAAGACATCTTTATACCACCTAAAGTCACTAAGTGTGGGACATTTTAGGTTGGTCAATTGGTCATGGATCCTAGCAGTTATGCTACTAGGAGTGCCAACAAAGTGTTTGATGATGGTGAATATAAGGGTATTACATCCATCAGGTCTAGCTGTTCCAATCCTTTCATCAAAGATTGGAAGGCCCTCATCATCTTTGAGAACAGCATTAATGATACTGTCTCTTTGTTCCTGGTTTAAATAATTATCCCACCAATTTCTAAGAACACCTGTAAATCCTGAAACTATTAGTTTGACAATCTCAGGTTCAGGGCTATCTAGATTGGTCATATAATTATTTAACACCATGGATAGATGACTAATTTTATTAAGAATTTCCTGTTCACTTAGACCATCTATGTTCCATTCATAGAGTCTGTTAGACTGAACAGAAAATTGGTTTAACACATTTTTTTCTTCATACTGAAGATCTGGTGGAGTAGGTCTGGAATACCAGTTCTTTGTGGAGCTGGTAGGGACTCTAACCAGTGCATTGATTTTAGAATCAAGTTGGGTCATACTGTGATCCTTAAACTGATTTTCTAAGTTTTTATTTCAGAGTCAGAATCAGTGGTGTCTTCCGGACTACTGGATTCTGCATTAGATTCTGAACTTTCTTCAGTTTGGTTGATGACTGTTATCTGAGAAGTACTGGTAGATTCCTTCTTAGATAAGAGTGCATCAATTTGTTGAATTAGGTTTTTATCCTTTAAACCTAAATTCTTCCTTTCTTCAGGTAGGTTGACTAGAGGTCTTTCTACTGAAGATGGTTTAATTTCATCTATTTTAGTTTCAATTTTATCCAACTGTTTACCTATAGTAATCAGGCTTTGGTTGGTGTAATTGATCTGTTCAACTATCTTCTTTTCAAATTCTAAAACTGGAATCTTAAAGGGAGTAGCCGTAACAGTTTTGGTAGCATATTTAATTTCAATAGTTTCTGCTGGGGGGTGACTAGAGGTTACCATAACAGATTCTGTTTTCCAATTTTGCTGAGTTACTACTTTTACTTCTTTGTGGAAGTTTTTTAAGTAGTCTTCTAAAGCAATCTCAGATTCTAATTTATACATTAAAGAAATCCATCCTTTTTTTATTTTTTCTTGATTTTTACAAGGTAGAGATTCAAAAGCTTTCCTAAGAGGTTTGTTCTCAGGGGTTTTGAAATTCTTTTTTAACTTGTAAATATCAGGCATAAAAAATTCTTTTTCCCTAGTGATAGTGTATAATTGATGGATTTTGCTGGATTCTACATTTCCATCAAAGGCACTAGCAGTGGGTGACAGAGAAGGTGAAGGAGTGAATTCATCATTCTCTGTTTGTTTGAATTCTGTGTATCTAGACCTTAATGGTACACTTATGGGAGTGTATACTGGCCTAGCTACTGGGTCAGAGGAATTAGCGATTCCTTTTAACCTATGGTCAAGTTCTTTGGCAATTTCTCTGTCTCTATGGGAAACAGATGAGAAATCAGATTTCCTTCCTTCAGGAACCTGATCATGCCTGGGCGTGAACCTACTAGATCTACTGGATCTAGCAGTATCAAAAGATATTTTAACTGATCCATCTGGGAGCTGTCTAATAGTCTCCAAATCAGTTGTAGTTGACTCGGTACTAGATTCTTTATCAAAATTTTCATTCTGCATGGTCCAAGATTCTGGTAAGGTCACATCTTTCCAAAGTATCTGCTTTGGAATTTGGATGTTGGTCTGTGCAGAACTGGCTTGTATCAACATAGTACTTCCTTAGGACTTGGGTCAAGGCATTGTACATTAAGATTGGTACGAATACACTTGTAGTAAATCCTGTAAATAAGTACTATGGAACTAGTGTTTTTTACTAACCTGGTAATATCGCCTGTAAGACGGATACCAAGAGTTAGTGTCATGTGTGTGTTATGACAATGGAGGTCAAGGGTAAAGTCAGGGAAGCAGTTAAAGTAGACTGGACCTCTGTGGAGTCCTGTCTCCATGATTCCCAAGACACTTGGTTCCCAATCTAGAAACCTACATCTCTTAGTGCTAGTAAGGCAGCAGCATTTCTGCCTTGGGTGATAAGTGGTTTAATGGCCACTTGGACAAGACCTATGTGGATAAAATTAAATCCTTTAGCCTTGTGTTTCTTAAGAGTCTCCTTAGTGAGGAGCTCACAAAACTCATCTTCTTTTTTGAGAGGATGAACTTGTTCAACAGTTTTAACTTGGTGTTCTTCACTAAAGGTTTTTTGAACCCAAGTTGTACTATAAATATTTTTTTCTTTAACTGGAGGAATATTCCATTTTTTCCAGTTTGTTTTAGCTTCTTCTATTTCTAATTTTGGATTCTACATTTTCATCAAAGGCACTAGCAGTGGGTAATCCTAAGTAATCGTTGTTGTTCATTGGATTCCGGAGGAACTACTTCATTAGGATTGGGGAATTGCTGCGATTCTTCCTGAATAGCCTGGATTCTCCCGTCGAGAGTCACTTTGAAAGTCTTACCTAAACTCTTCCGACTGAATATGATAAAGCCTATAAAACAACGAGCTACTATCATTTCTTCATTATAGATTGAGATCTTCTTCGAACTTGATGCACAAATAGATGGAATAGCAGCAAATAGCATCTTTCTAGCCTGCATATTCGTGGAACTCAATCTCATTTAGAAAGCCTTATCTCTATCTTTCAGCAACTGAACGGGAAGTGGTTTAGGAAAGGACTTTAGAATCGGATGCGCTCGCCCAGCGAGAAAGGCCCTGACCCTGCCAACCAAGTAAAAATCAAAAAGAAAGAAGAGAACGAAAGGAGAAGAGAACTTCGTTTTTTGGTAACTCTCTAGGAGTCATGTTTAACCTTGAATGCTATTAATAAATTCTACAGCAATAGTCCCTCGGACTCGGAAAGTCATAACGAAAATGGCTAACCCAATAGCAGATTCCGCAGCTGCCACCGTTGGAACCAATGAAGCAAATGATTGACCCATCATATCATCCGAAGAAAACGGAAAAAACCAAAAAGTTTGAATTCACAGCTAATAACATTGATTCAATTGGCATTGACATAATAGGAATATTTCGTCTATTAAGAAGGATTCCCCGAATACCTGAAATAAAGATGATCATAGAAAATGTGAAATATTTGATAGGATCCGTTTCGGGAACGTAGAATGTAAGAGAAATTCAAATGTTATAACTCCAGTACGATAACGAAAAAGCCCCCCCCCCCCCGCGTTCAGTTTCCCTTCTTATCGGAAATCCAGCGAAGCAGCTCTTGCAGCCCTTTCTTATCGAATTTACGGGTCTGCCCCCCCGGCCCGACATTCCTGACGTGAGGAAGTAATGAGATAAGGGCCTACCTTAACCATGTAGCTTGTTTTGACTTCCTATCCGACTAGCGTACTATTATTGTATCTCATTTTTTGTATACCATAATAGTAAGCTATCTCCCTCCCTAGATGGAAGGACTGAGTTAGGATAGTCAGGATAGGAGTTCTACTTCTTGCTTTGAGACGTAGCTTCCCTCATGTAGTCATGTAATTGGTAGCTAGCCTTTCCTATCCTATTAGCTAGCTTGACTTCCTCTAGTAGCAACGTCCTATTTTCTCTTTCTATTATTTATGTCACATAATAGTCCGGTCTTCCTGTCTATAGGGATGTAGCTTGCTTTCCTTCCTGTGCTTGTAGTGGCATAAGGAAGAGTTTTTTTCAGGTAGCTCTATGTTACTACGGTTGGTTCCGGGAGAAAGGACTTTCCCCTGAGGCAACTTGCTACTTTAGGGTTAGCTCAAGCTAGAACAAATAAGGAAAAATGAGATCTAACCAGCTGGTTGTTCCAGGAAGCTAAGATGGCTGCTATCGACGAGCTGAGGAGAGAGCAAGAGCTGCTACCTATTCTCCTAAAGGGTGAATTTGTAAGATGCCCTCTTTTTATTTGCCTGTCCTCTTTCTTACTAGGACTCCTAATTAGCATCCAACAGATCAATTCAATTTAAGGAGAATCTGTTGCAGTTCTTGTTCTTGGATGTGGGATAGCGCGCAATGGGGGCTTTGAGGGCTCTCCCCTCTGTCTCTTTCCCTCGTCTTGTTGTTCCTGTAAGCAAAGGAAGAAATCTAACTCCTATTCCTGCTATAAGAGATAGAGTAAGGCTTTCTTATGGTTATCTCCTCTTTGCATGAATAAGACAATCTTATGAAGACGATGAAGACAATCATAACATTGTCTTCTGCCCCCCCCCCCGCTTCATGCTCATAGCATAGACCATCTAAGTGCTCACGGAGCTCCTCTAAGAAGGTAGCATCCCCCTCACTATCAATACCAATCCCCCTTTATCGATTTTAGGGGAGTTTCTCAACCGTTTTCTCATTCCGACCCCTGCGGTCATAGCCAATTCTCAGGAGTATCCGCAGTTCACACGCTTTACCTGCTCCCTTTTCGTTAGAAGGTCTTGTTCTTCTTCCGCCGAAAGTGGTGCAGGAGGGGCAGGCTCCGGCGAAGGAGCCGGGGGAAGGTTGAGATCGGGAAGCGGTCGGTTCGAAAGGTGAGAAGGAGCTGGTAGCGAAGGGGAAGGGGAAACCGATGATGTAGAAGAAGGCTGAATCGGGAGATTTTCTTCTTCTACATCATCCTCTGTTTCAGCTGTGGCAATATTGGCTGAAGCAGTTGGCAGATTTAGAGAGTAATAAGCTTGGTGATCCGGCAAAGGCTGTGTTTCAGCGGGGGTATTCTAAGACTCATATACCAATTCTCCTTTGACAATCCGGTCATGAAAAAGAGAGAGTCAAGCATGACAGAATTCCCAACTTGCTATGGTTCATTGACTAAGCTCATTCTTTTTATACTAAAAAAGTCTACCGGCTCTAAGACCGACAATAAATTCCTTTCGTCATCATACATCATAATCAGAATCAGGTCACGTTAAGGTCCCATTCGCTATCATAATGTCGAACCATTTTTCTGTATTAAACACATTCAAAAAAACTTCCTTCTCCGAGGTCTATTCTTTCTATGATTATTCCTCCCCGAGGCGGTGTCTGATTTCTGTACCCCTTAGGCTGTTGGAAATCAAGCATTTCTTTCGGCTGGTCGATGGTGTACTTCTTTCTTTAACAACCTCTTTGAATTCCGTAGCTCTTTCGATCAGCTTCGAAAACTTGGTGATTCCAACCGGGACCAATGCACACCGCATATCATACTGCAGTCCTCTAACTAAAATGGCGACTCACTTTTCGATTAGAGCAGTTCGCCTTCTTGTTATCAAAAAGTCCCTGTCCCTCACTTCAAATGTAGACTCCCGTATTAATATATGAATCATATACAGAAAGTCAACAGCACACTTATTGTATTGGGGCCATGTCTCTTTCAAGAGGGTTCTCCCCGCCCCCTGCCAATATATATGGCAGAGGTTCCATGCTTTAGTCCTTTTCTTTTCACTTTTTTGAGTTCGGGGCGCAGGTTCAGGCAAGCGACTTCCGTTTTCTCTATCTTACTAATAATAAGAAGGGGGTGGGGAAGAGCGAACTTTAAATCCATACATAGGAGTGCGTGAGAGCCTCCGCTAAGGAAAAGGATTGAATGCGCGTACCTCTGCGAGTGGCATCTCCTAGGCCTATGCTACGATCCGGGGATCTAAGCAAGGTGGCCTGATATGTACTTCCTTTTTGCCGGTTCATCAAACCGCACTCGCCCCCTTATTTGAGTTAGGGGCTTAATAGGCCGAGTAAGGGCCCATTCTGCCCTTTAGAGATAGGGGCGACCCAGCTAGTGCCATTTTTCTTTAAGGCGGAAAGTCCTACATATACCGACGGCTCCTTTTCTTAATACCAAAAGCGGAGCGGAAGGAGAACCGAGTGTCTTGTTTTTCGCACTTGGTTAAAACATTTTTTCAAGGGTGTGATGACTCACTCCGAGCCCCCTATAAACATAAAGGCAACCGAGAAAAAACTTTCTCCCTGACTCCCTACCCCATGCTCGGAAATTAGAAGCTATATGGGGGGCTATTCATTCCTCTTCTCGGAACTGAACTACTTTTTCTGCCTGAAGCACTTAGGGTGGGCCATGAGACCAAAAAGGACGACCTCTATCAATGTCAGCCAGGCCGTTCTCTCCATCCAGGTCGAGCAACTTCTAGTCTTGAATCTCTTTAAACATTATCGCTGCTTTACATTTTACATAAAAAACCTAAAATGGAATGAAATACGAGACGAGCGCGAGTTACGCCTCTTCCTGGGTCAAAGTTCATAGGACCCGCCTACTAGTGGAATTCAAAAGAGAGCTTGTTCCCGCCAACCCACGAAAATGGATAATTGGTCAAGAAAGCTCGAATGAGGAACGTGAAAAATTGATCAGGTGTTGAGCCTTGACGTCTTCGCTTGGCCTTACGAGGGCAGGGAGACTTTCGAGGATAATTGCAACACACTCTCCCACTCAAAGAAGGGTCCAAGCCATATCAACGAAAACAAAGGCATCTTCATCCGGATATCCAGGAGGCAATCTATGCAGAGGTTCCTCCATACCTACTTTCCATACATCCAACGGTAGAGGCGGGAGGAAAGGGAAGGCTTGGTAATCCCCTAAAGAAAAAAGAGAAATCTCCTTTTTTGTATACCAACCTTCCTTTAAAACTGGATTAGATAGGCTTAGATAAGGGTTTGAAGAAAAGAAAAAAAGTTTCATGATTTATGGACTACTGAGCCCATATCCCCTCCAACCATCAAAATACGGAGGGAGATTGAAAAAGGGATAAAGGGATAAGGGGTTTTGCGTTTGCATATAGCTCATAAAGTGAGATTTTAGAATCTCACTAATAAACTACCTTCTTCTCTTTTTGTTTTTTACGCTTGTATAGAGCATTTTTTCATTTTTTGTCCTCCGATCATTGTCACTTCATGATCTTTTTTTTCAGGGATGTCTTCTTTAGTAGAGGTGCATCTTGATCTATTATGACACTATACCTTCCTATACCATATAATGCCGAGCGAGTATAATTCATTAGATTAATTCGAGGTTTTTTGGGGTGGCCTTGGTTGACCGTGGAGGAATTGAACTTCCCATTCTGTCCTTTCTCACCTTGTTCTTACCCATCTAGATGTTCCAGATGAAGAGCCAGATGGAAACGTTGAAGTAGCACAAGCAGTTCTATATCTTCCGGCAGCAGTTGATTGAGCAGGTTATTCTGTTGTTTTATATCGAGATCCTATCCCATAGCTAGCTAGCAGCACCTTTGACTAACAATACCTAAAGCAAAAGCAGCTATGAAAGAGGTTGGTCGAATAAAAGCACGAGTTCCGGTAGACCCCTACTAGTAAAGGGCAAGCCAGCATCTTGCCCGGATTGGGAAGCAGAGGTGGGGGGTTGTCAAGTTTGTTTTGGTTTGAAGTAGGGTAACTTTGCAGAACCTTTGCTTGCGCCCTTTTGAGATAAGGCAGGTTTGGAGCCTTGCTATATTATCAAATAAGCTCTCGTTCCTTAGGCAATGTCCTATTCCTACCATATTTATATTTTTTTGTTTCATATCTATAGTTCGGATATCAATCGTATATGAAGAAAGAGATTGTTGACCTTAGTAGACTAATCTATTCATTTGTAGGGCATTTCCTCCTGTGACCACCTTTCCTACCAAAAAGCTAACCCAACAAATCTGGGTTTTTTCTAGACTAGACCTTCGGGATTTTTTTAGGGTTCATACATGCATTGATCCAGTCGAAGAAACTGCTCCAGAGCGACTACTCCGCCTAGCGTATCTTCCTGCCCGCCCGGGGTTCTCTCTGCTCGGTTTCACAATCAATCCCAGATCCATCTATTTGAGGGAGGTCAAATTCCGCGCTCTTCTAATTGCTTAGAAGGGTTCAAGAACCCCTTTACATCTACATCTAGGGCTCATCGAAGCCCTATTCTGTATATTCAGAAACAGGGCTATCAAATGGTCGACTGCGAAACCCATCAGGGTTAGAAATTCGTTATACTTTAACCTCTCTCGGGATCGTTCAACGGACTACTTTGCGATGCCTGTCACATGAAGAAGCTCAGCAAGCCTTGCAAGAAGTACATGCTTTCCTAATAATAGGGGCATAGTAATAGTGGTTTGCTGGGTTGGTTTTGCTCTCTACCTTCTCACGGGGGGATGGAAAACAAGAGAGGTCAACTGGAGTGGAAGCCAAACGAACGGGGCCGAGAATCTGTGATCGATCCGAAGAACCACTGCCAGATACGATTCTGCTCCCCCTTCGTACTACCAAAAAATGAAATTCTTGCCCGGCTTTCTTTCGGCTTAAGAAGGCTGCGGTGAGATGAGGATCACTTCGGAACTCTAGGAATGGGCGTTTAGGGCGGGATTCTAAAAGCTCTCCAACGTGTTGCGAGCCTTCGGGTGAGAGGAGAGGGTCTTTTGGCTTCCTCAGGGCCGTGTGAAGCTTAGCTTGCAGC